TCTCAACAAATTAGACACAGAAAGAGTATACCTCAACACAAGAAAAGTCATATGTGACAGACAGTTGACATCATACTCAATGAAGAAAAATTGATAGCTTTTCCTCTAAGATCTAGAATAAGACAAGGATGTCCACTCTTGCCAATTTTATTTAGGATAGTATTGGAAGTCCTAGCCAGAGCAATTAGGTAAGAAAAAGAAATAAAAGGCATCCAAATTGGCAAAGAAAATTAATTTTTAAATTTTATTTATTTTTTTATTGATTATGCATATTTGCAGGGTACAAAGCTGACTGTCACCACCTGCGTCCAAGATGTGATGATCAGATAAGTACTATCAGTATGCCTATTACCACAAACTGCCATTATTCCCCAGGAAAGGAAAAATTTAAATGTCCCTGTTTGCAGACTACATGATCTTACATAAAGATCTAGAAAACCCTAAAGACTCCACTCAAAATGTCAGAACTGATAAAGGAATTCAGTAAAGTTTTAGGATACAAAATCAACTTAAACATCAGAAACATTACTATAACACTAACCATCAACTTGCTGAACAAAATCAAGAAAACAATCCATTTACAATAGCAGTTAATAGGAAGTCAATTTAACCAAGAAGGTGAGCAACCTCTACACTGAAAACTATAAAATATTAATAAAATAAATTGAAGATGACACAAATAAGGAGAACAATATTCTGCTGTCATGGATTGGAAGAATTAATGATGTTAAAATGTCCACACTGCCCAGAACGATCCACAGGCTTAATGCAATCACTATCAAAATATGAATGACTTTTTTTTTTTTTTTGGACAGAAACAGAAAAAATAATCCCCAAATTTGTATGGAACCACTAAAGACCATAAATACCAAAGCAATCTTGAGCAAAAAGAAGAAAGCTTGAGGAATCATATACCTGGCTTCAAGATAAACTACAAAGCTATAGTAATGAAAAAAGTATGGTACTGGCCTAAAAACAGACACATAGACCAATGGAACAGAATAGAAAGCCCAGAAATGAATCCAGGCTTTTATAGCCAACTGATTTCCAGTGAAGGTGCCAAGAACACACACTGGAGAAAAAAAACAGTCTCTTAAATAAATGATGATAGGAAAATTGTATACTCCCATGCAAAAGAATGAAATTAGACCCTTTTCTCTCACCATATATAAAAATCAACTCAAAATGGATTGAAATCTTAAATTCAAGACATGAAAATATGAAACTACTAGAAGAAAATATAGGGCAAAAGCTCTATGACACTGGTCTGGGCAATGATTTTTAGATAAAATCTCAAAAGCACAGGCAACAAAATCAAAAATAGACAAATGGGCTTACATCAAACTGCAAACTTCTGCACAGCAAAAGAAACAATAAACACAGTGAAGAAACAACCTACAAAATGGGAGCAAATATTTGTAAACTATACATAAGATATCCAAAGTTCATAAGCAACAACTCAAAATCAAGACAACAAACTGATTAAAACTGGCAAAGGACATTTCTGAAAAGAAGACATGCAAATGGCTAAAAGGTATATTAAAAATGTTCAATATCTCTAAACATCAAAGAAATGCAAACTAAAACCAAACAATGATGAGGAGTCACTGTACAATGATGAGGCGTCACTGTTTAGAATGGCTACTATCAAAAAGATGAAATATAACAAGTGTTGGCAAGGGTGTGAAGAAAAGGGAACCCTTTCACCCCATTGTTGGGAATGTAAATTAGTAGAGCTACTCTGAAAAACAATATGAAGGTTCCTCAAAAAATTAAAAATAGAATTACTATATGATTCAGCAATTCCTCTTCATGGGTACTTCCAAAATAATTGAAATCGATATATTGAAGAGATTACTGCACACCCATGTTTATTGCAGCATTATTCACAATTGGCAAGATGTGGAATCAACCTAAATGACTATCAAGATATAAACAGAATAAGAAAATGTGGTGTGTATATGCAATGGAATATGATTCAGACTTGGAAAAAAAAAGAAAATCTTGCCATTTTTTGATGACATGAATGAAACCGTAGGACATTTGGTTAAGCAAAAATAAACCAGGCACAGAAAGACAAATATTGGATGATCTCATTTACACATGGAATCTAAAAGAGTTCATCATAGAAGTAGAAAGTAGAATGGTGACTACCAGAGGCTTGGAGTGAGAGGGGTTGTAGAGATGTTGGTCAAAGGGTACCAAAATTCAGTTAGATAAAAGAAATGAGATCTATTGTACAACAGGGTGAGTATAGTTAACAACTATTAAGTGTTCACACCACAAAAATTGATAAAAATGTGCAGTAATGCATATGTGAGTTAGCTCATTTAAGTCATTCCACTATATACACATATTTCACAATTTCATGTTGTACACAACAAATATATACAATTTCTATTTGTCAATTAAAAATTACATAAATTTTAAAAACTTCTGAGCTTTAAGGAGTTGATAGAGGCTGGGAAGGGTAGGGGGAAGGAAGGATGGGAAGAGGTTGGTTAATGGATACAGAACTACAGCTAAATAAGAGGAATAAGTTCTAATATTTTATAGTAGTAAATATTTTATATAGTAATATTTATATGGTAAAACTTTATATAGTAAATATTTTATATACCAATATTTATAAAGTAATATTTTATATAGTATTATTTATATAGTAGTGTTGGGTACATATAATTAACAACAATATATTGTATATTTTCAAACGGCTTAGAAGAGAGAAATTCAAATGTTCTCATCATAGAGAAATGATGAATGTTTATGGTGATGGATATGCTAATTAGTCTGATTTGATCATCGTATAGTTTATACACATATCAAAGTATTACCACGTACCCATAAATATGTACCATTACTACATGTCAACTAAAAAATAAAATGAAAAGTAAAGAGTTGATAGAATGTGGACTTGCAGATGTGAAGGGATCATGCAGATGGAAGGACCAACGCTGCCAAGGCAGAAATATTTTTAAAAGTGCAAGTCCTACAAAGGTATTACAGAGTTATTTCCATTTGACTAAAGCAGTGTGTAGATGTACGGATGTGGTGCATGATGTTTGGAATGAGAATTAGGGCAAGACATAAAGGTCTTTGGTGGCCAGGTGAATAGACTTAGCCACTAGCAAATCACACCAGAATTGTAGAGCCACCAGAGTAGACGGCCAGCCTGGGAGAGCTGAAGCATGGACTGAGACTAGGAAAGCCATAGCAGCAGAGCTGCCAAAGGACTTGGGAACCCAATCCCTCACACCAGTATGCAGAGAACGTCAGAGTCAGGGTACATGATTCTCCAGCTTTAAGATTCGATGCCTGCCCTGCTAAATTTTGAACTTGTTTAGGACCCGTTACCCCTTTCTTTTGGCCTATTTCTCCCTTTTGAAATGGAAATATGTACCCTAGGTTTGTCCCACCATTGTACCTTGGAAATAGATAACTTGTTTTGATTTCACAGATGGGACCTGTGAGTCAAAGACTTTGGACTTTTGACTTGAAACAGGTTAAGACTTTGGGGATGGAATTAATGTATTTACCTGTGAGAAGAACATGAACCTTGGGGGCTGGGGTGGAATGGTGTAGATTGAATTGTGTCTCCCAAACTCCATGTATTAGAAACTTAACCCCCATTGTGATAGTGTTAAGAGGATGGGAAATCCTACTGTGTTAATTGAAAGGTGGGGCCTTGAAGAGGTGATTAGGTTGTGAGGACCATGCCCAAGTAAATGGATTAAAAAGTTGATGGTTTAATATTGGTCATGGGCATAATTCTGAGGGCTTTAAAAGGAGAAGGAGTGAGGAGTCAGCTCTCTCTCTGCTTCTGTCATTTGCCACGTGACAATTTGCTTTGCTGTGAAGAGTCACTACCCAACAACAAGGCTCTCACCAGATGTGTTCCCTGGATTTTGGACTTCCTAGCCTCTGAAACTGTAAGCAATAAATATGATTTGTTTACAAATTACCCAGTTTCAGCTACTTCTGTTATAAGCAACAGTAATGGACTAATGCACCACGATTCTAGGGTTAGCGAGTGGTTCTACTGCAATCCGTTTAGTTCCCATGTACAAATGCAGTGTCTATATTCTATGCTTACCAAACTTGATCTGGAAGATGGGAGAGCTTTTTCACATTTTGGGGAAAAAACTATTTACTCAAGTACTTATTAAATTATCACTGAAAGTATCCCATTTAGATTTTAAAAAACCAGGACTTAGGCCAAACAACAATCAATTTCAACAGAAAGGGTGCCATTTTGGCTTTATACTGAGTTATTACTGAGAACTTTAAAATTGAGCACATAATTTTAAAATCTTTTTATTTTGGGCAGTTATGAAAGCCAAATATCTACTGCTGCCATTTTGAATTCAGACTCAAGAGTAATACAAAATAAGGAGAAATGATTCCTGGCACCTAATTCGATAAAGACAAAATATCTAAAATTATTCCATTTAAAATATTTTCAGTAAGTTAAGGTTATGCTTTTATAAAAGTCAGAGAAGAGGTAATCTCCAAAGCCAGACTTTTGAACAAAAAGTCTTTATGAATGTTTTTGGTGTAGCACTGCCATTAACTTCATGGTTTATAGTTCATATATGATTTCTTTCATGAAGCTTTTCAACCATATGACTAGGTTAGTTGCCTACTTCTGTGCATCCACAGCACCCTGATCACACTGCATACTTTTTGTTTCCCCAACTAGGCTCTAGGCATTTGCCCTGTTTATTGCAGTATCTATGGTACAGAATCCTGGAATTCAGCTGCTCAGTAAGTATCAAATTGTATCATTTACTCAGATGTTAAAAATAAGCTCTTGCACTGATATACCAAAATATTTGAGTTTACTGAGGAATAAGTTGAAGGAAAAAAAGATTGTAGCCTCATTATTAATGACTGGATTTACAGTTTGTAGAAAAAGGTAACAGAATATGAATTGAGGTAGGGAATTAAAAGGTAGGTATAGAATCAAGAGCAAAAAATATTCTTCGGTGACTCTGCCTTACCTTTTCCACCTTGCCCAGGCCCTCAGTGTCCAGAAGGATCAGGGTGTGGTTGGGCTTGCAGGGGTGGGGCACACACCACATCCAGATGCCCTTGGTTGTAGACCTCACTGTGGAGCCCAGAGGGAAGCCTACAAAGGAAGATAAGGCAACATGGATGTGTGGCAATCCTTAAAACCTAATGGACTGATGTTCAACCCCTAAAGGAGCTGAGCCAGAGTGGAAATAAGAAATTCAGGAAAAAAAAAAAAAAAGGCTGTATGGTGTGCATAGACAGAAAGGGCTAATGGAACTACAGGCAGATTTGCCTAAAAATCAATAAGAAGTAAATGAGACAATCCAACTGAAAAAAAAAAAAAAAGACTTGAACAGCCATTTAACAAAATAGGAAATACAAATGGCAAGTAATATGTCAGAGGGTGGTCAACCTTATTTACAGTGAGGCACATGGCATACAATTAAACAGTCACCACAACAGAAAAAATTTAAAAATTTTTGTAACTATGTATGAATTCTTAATTCCTCTTAAAAAGCATGAAAATTACACAAAATATTAAATATTAAAAAGGCCATTTGGTATTATCAGGAAATCCTGAAGACACACATTCTATGACCTAGCAATTTCACTTCAGGATCTTTTATACAAGGGAAGTTTATGCACATGTGCATCAGGATAATATTACAAGAATATGTATGAAAACCTTGTTCATAAAAGGCAAAAAAGTGAAAATAACACAAATGTTCTTCAGTAATAAATAGATAAATAAAATGTGGTATCTTCATATAATGGAATACTATAATGTAGTGAAATAAATTACAGCTACATTCTAAAAAGTGGATGAGTTTTACAAACTTTTTGTTGAAGAAAAGAAACAAGATAACAAAGAATATTTACAATTTAATTGCATTTATACAAAATTTATGAAGCAGATCAAACAAAACTGTCTATTAAAATTAATTCATATCTTGTAAAACCATTTTTAAAAAGCAAGGAAGGGAGTATCGGGAAATTAAAACGTTGGTGAACACTACTGAGGATGTGAGATGGTGTGATTTGGGCTTTTGAGTGCTGGCACAGTTTTATTTTTTGACCTGGCCTATTATTACACAGGTGTTCACTTTATTTATTTTATTGTATTTTGTGTTTTATGTACTCCTCTGTATGTGTTATAGTTTACACATTGAAAGTCTAAAAATATTGAAAGAAGGGGGTAAAACTTATGAAATCTGCTGTGAAATGGAACAAAATAATGAGATAGTAGCTCCGAGATAGGGGATAAATAGTGATCTTTCCTCTTTTTCATTCCTTTCTTCCAGTTTAAAAAAACAAGACATGTTAAACTACATTTGAAGCTTCTTGGAATGACACTATAGTTTCGGCAAAAGTGATATAGGAGAAAGAAAGGGCATACTGGCAGGAGCTGAGCTCCTGAGCAGGAGAGAGTAGATGGGATATAAGGGAGAAGTGGGCTAGATCATTTGATAGAAGAATGGTTCTTTGTTCCTGGAGAAAAGAGTTAGATTTTATGGACATATGGGGTTGAGGTCATACATTTGGTGGTGAGAATTAGAAATTTTCTTCACTGGGAGGAGTCATGCTCTTCCTTAAGATGACCCTAGAGTAGGTGTGATCAGCCTGTGTTATCACTGGTTCCAAGCAAATAGCCCCACCCCAAGACCACACTCACCATGCTTCTGTCCTGCCAGGCAGTTCATGAGGTAGGATTTTCCTGTACGATACAGCCCTGCAATGGCCACCACCACCACAGGCTGAGAAATCTTGTCAAGGATCTTTATTGCTTCTGGATTCACCGTCAACTTCTCCTCTTCATTATTCACTAGACAAATGGGGGCCATTGTGGTGGGTTCAGATGTGATGGTAACCTGCAAACCCAGAAGAATCTTTCAGTGGAATACAAGATCCCTAAGTCATCTCTAAAGGTTATTCAAGGAACGTGCATATCAGTGCCGTACTTGTGGAACATGTATATCCACTTCCTACTTTTTGTACATTTCTAAGGTAAAAGTATGTAGCCTTGCATTGGCAGATCACAGACCTTTTCATTCATCATGCCCATAATCTCTGATAATGCTGCGATGATAGAAACAGTCTTACTTGTCTCCAATGATTCATTTCTCTAAAAGTAATATTCTAGTTAATTAATCCCTCTGCATAAAATGTCTTCATAAAGATCCATTATGTACATTAACTTACTGATCCTTAAAAGAACTCTAAAAGTTAAGGAATTTTATCCTTTCTTCTAGATGAAGTAACATTAGTACAAATATAAACTAAAAGATTGGTAGAGGTTTGATAGTTAGTCAGTGGCAGAAGCTGGAGTTGAACAGTGATCTGAGTGTCTCATTGTATTACCTACTATTGTGGAGTATACTAACATTTATAAAGCAAATGTATTTCACAAGGCCTAGTTTCCAAAGCCCTGCAGTTTCAGGTATAACCTAGCCTTTTAAAATTACACATAGAAATGTTAAGCTTGCAAAAGACAGGAAACTTTCCCCAGGCTAAAGTCTCTGTTGCAGATAAGAATTGTAACAGCAGAATTGCTGGCTCCAAGGACAGATGCCCTTGGTGCAACTAAACCTAATGACTGTTGCCATAACAATTATCTTACTGTTCTTTTTGTAACCACCTATGTTCCTTTTCTGTAATTTTCTGGCCTGGAGAATAAATCCTGAGAGAAAACCCCAGTTCATGGTTAATTTTCCAAGGAATGCCTCTCTCTTGAGGGTTCACGGAAAGTAACCCCTTCAGAGCTTCTCACTGCTCAGAAGAAATGGGCTTTGAGTAATCCTTTTTGCCTCTCCATCACCCTGGGGGAGAGGTGACATACTATAAAAACTTACCTGTCAGAATTAATTTCCTCAAATAAACATTTTTGAAAAATATATGTTTCTTTACAGAGAAACTGTAAGGGCTCTAATCATATATAGTCATTATAATACATATTGTGATCTGAATGGTTACTGGTATTCCTGTAAGGTTATCCAATTACCAAGCTATTTCCAGGCCAACTTGCCTGTTTACAGGGTATGTGCATTATAGGAGACTTCAGTTCATCTTACATTTTGTGAAAAACATAATTTTAAGTTTTAAGTTTATTACCTTAATTTTTAACTCATTATATATTTGATGAGCCTGATGCCATAATCAATGCTGAGGATATAAAAATTAATAAAATAGAGTCCCAACCTTCAAAGTGCTTTAGAATCTGTATCAACTAGGATTTGATTCATCTGTGAGTAAGAGAAAAACCCTAGAAAACTGTTGCTTAAAGAGCTGAAAGTTTATTGCCCTTTCTCATAAAATCACAAGGTACAGCATCCTTGGTTCTGCTTCACTAAGTCACCAGGGGCACTGGCTCCTTCTATTTCTTGCTTAGCTATCCTTTGACATGCCACCTCATGGTCCAAGATGACTCACCATCACATGTAGTACCTTCCATCCAGCAGAAGAAGAAAGGAGAGAAGAACCTAGGTCCTCTCCTTTAAAGGACATCTAGATGATTGATCATGCATAATCACTTCTGCTCAGATTCCACTGACTAGAATTGCATCTCATAGGCAGCGTATCTGCTAGGAGACTGATCTTTAGGCTCTCTAGTAGAGTGCCATGTACCCAGGTAAAAATCAAGTATTGTATTATTACACTGGGGTTAAAGAAGACTGATACTGGAAGATAAACAGCAGTAATAATAATCATATAATAATCAGTCTTCACAATAATCATGAGTATCTCAAGCTTATTGGAGAAGACAGGCAATATATCATTGATTACAGCATAAGTAGAGAAATGCCATGATAGATATATGTACAGGATAGTGCCCAGGTAAAAAGAAGGATAAATCTAATATAGACTGAAATAACAATGAGTCAAGAAAAGTTTCTAAAAGAGGCAAGTTAGTAAAGTTGATGACAGGATAGAGCTAGAAGACAGAAGAAACAGCAGATGCAATGACTTGAAAGATTAAAGTGCGAGGGAGGTATCTAAAACGACTCCAAGGTTTTTAGCTTTGGTAGCTGAGTAAATGTCAAAAAGTAAGAAAAATAGAAATAGACATGATTTCAGTGGGTTTTCAATTTTTTTGGACATGGTTAATTGTGGTATACTCATTGGACACTTAAATAGAATTGTTCAGACCTGAATGCA